CCTGAACGGATGCCGCACCCATCCACCTGATGCAAGGTGGCGACAGAGGCATCTCCAAAGCTTCTCAACTGGGTCTCAAAGGGAGGTATGTCGTGGGCTGCCTGGTTCCCAGCAGGAAGCATAGCCATGCTGCAGGCATGGTTTACCTGTGCGGTCGATTCGCATCCTATATAGTATATGGTACACATTTACGTTAGTGTTTGCAGTTCCACAATATCTTCACCATGTCTCGGATACTCGATCCAGACCTCCAGCGGCGTCGCAACAGCTTGGATCCAGCAGAAGCATCTAAACAAGACAAGTACTAATTCTCTGCTTGTTGCTTGCTTGCTTTGTACCATGGATCAATACCCCAAGAGGCTTTGCACTTGTGCTCTGGATTCGGGCGAGCATCGACGCGTGCTCCGATGCTGACACGGATCATCCTGGCGTCCGAGCGGCTCACCCGCCAGAGTCGCATTGGCTCCATCTCCAGGCGCTGACGAGGCTCCCAACACTAGCATACACACTGGCCCAGATGCATGCCAGCCTGTCGGGTCGACGGGATTTGTAAATACCACACGCCGTTGCAGGGCAGAGGCAGGTATAGTGGCACAGACCATTCTGTTGTGCAGAAAAGACCAGCCCTTGGATTTCTTCTCCCGCTAGGCCGAGCCAGCTTCTGCGATGTTTACTACTAAAGTATCCTCCCGTCTTGGCCGCACGATCATTTTCCCGCCACATCGGTCCGACTACAACAGAACTTCTTGAGCGTGAAGCCATCTGCAACTCCTGTGCGTGGTCGCTATTGGCTCATCTGTCGCTCTGCTAGCGTTGCCATTGCTACCGCTAGTGGGAGCTCGACCCAGAAGTCTTGCCCGTCAATAGACTCCTCCACCCAAGGACACGAACGCAGCTCCACCTGTCCACCAAGGAATAAACGGGCCCACACTCACACTCAAAATGATGATGGTGCTGCGCCAGAGGAAGCAAGGCTGGTGGAGGTTCCCCCAAGGGCCCGGCTGCCGGGCGCCGAGAGGTCCAGCTTCCAGCACCGCTGTGGAAAGCACAAAGCACTGCATCCAGATGCGCAGCGATGACCAGGGAGACACTCACCGGGCCTGCAGCGTACAATTGGGCGCGCTGGCGCTGGCGCCAAGTTCTCGTGAACCAAAGCAAGCCAGTACCATGGCCTGTCTGCTAGGCCTGGGCTCAGAGAGAGTTGCGAGCCTCGTGCCAGGTGTCAAGGTCCTGGTGACGACACTGCGGTTCTACAGAAGTTCACATGTGAACGATCGATATTGCCCGCTTGGCGCGGCTTGCGAGCTGACCTCGAACGCGGGTCCCTTTAATGGGTCTAGGTCATAGGGCAGAGCCGGTCATGGTCCGAGCGGCTCTGGCAGGCTTCATCTACTATGTGGCACAGACTGACGACAGAGTCTATTACTATGTACTACCTTTACTTTACTTATGGTAGTACGTGCAGTAGGCGCGAATATGTCTCAAGCTGTACCGATCTCGGGTGGTAGGCAGGCCACCTACCGTCCCATCTGGCTCAGCTCAGACGAGTTTCTGTCCCAGCAGTCTGTTCTGGCACGCGACCAGAGCAAGGCGTTACCCTGCTGTCGGGGCTGCCCGAATGGATGGATCATTTCGCTCAGGGCCTTGGCACAGTTGACCTGTAGCTCGGTAGTGTCCTGACACTTTCATCCTTCGGTTCAACATTCGCCGGATTTATTCGGTTTGAATGGTGCGGGTTGGTGATCAAACCTGTCAGTTTAACCGGAGAATCCACGGCTCTACAATCCGGCAGACCAGCAGACCACAAAGCCAGCCCACACGGCGTCAACGGTGGTGTGCATATAGGCCTAGCCGCAATATGCCGGCCCGAAAAGCAAGACGAGTCTTACCACACTCACTGCCTTTCACTGCCTTGCTCCAATTCCGGAGGCATGAGTAGTAAAGTTGCGCTAGAAGCCCTCCAATACAGGCTTCCTCGTCTTTGTTCTCCGCTGCCCCTGTCTCTTCTACTCACTTTACATGTCGTCTGTTTTGTTTTCGTCCTTCCTTTTTTCTCCCCAGCGGATGCGAAAAAAAAATAAAATAAAAGAAATTACAGATACCATGTTCGTGGAGGGCTTGTCGAGGCGGTCATTCTGTCATTCCGTGGAAAGCCTCCCCACGTCCCGCATTCACGCGACCACAGCCCACACACGAGGACCGTGGTCAGATCAGGCAGATGGTGTTAACTCTGGCCTGCCGACCCATCGTGGAAGGGAGGTGGGCGTGCCGGGTGGGGGAACAAAGCCAATAGACGTCGTAAGTCGGCGTGGGGGTCTTTTGAAGGGCGGCGGCGCGGGAAGTCACCTCTATACCCCTTTCGAATGCGCGCGCCGGGGGGATCGCCGACCTTCTGCGTAGACAAAAGAGCTGCTAAATGCTGATCCGAGTCCTGGGTGAAATCAAGGAGGTCTGATGGAGACTGCTAGGCCGGAAGTTTGTGGGTTCAACGGGCTACACCAACACGGGACTGTTTGCTGCTGATGGTTACGGTGTTCCGCCGTGGGTGATGGATCGCCCCACACCCGCCCGTATGATTCCCTGCTCAATAGAGCAGTAGCTTCGCCTTGGACGTCGTCTCCCCACGCGGGTTGCGCCCTTTCCCCCATCACCCCCGGTATGGTAATCAATCTCAGCAGCTGTCTCGTGCTCGTGGCGTCACCTTAAGGGGCAATTTGAGCTGATGAGGGCAAGCGGCCGTCGAGTTCACTACTGTCGTCTGTGGATAGGCGGATGCCCATCGTCGTCGTCGACTTGTCGGTGGCTTGTGGATCTGTCGTCGCCTCTTCGGTCATTCGTCGCCGCGTCGTCGTTGTCGTCGTCGTCTGCAGGGAGGGCAACGTCTATGTATGGGTGGGGTGGCTGTGTGTGTGTGTGTGTGTGTGTGTGCGCGCGCGCATGTGTGTTGCAATTTCCGGCGCTGTCGAGAGCTGGTCGCAATATGGTTTGCATTGCATGGTCCCGGGTACCGTGTCGCATGTCTCATAGGTTGCGCGGCCTGTTACTCTGACCGTAACAACAGCAGCAGCATGAACAGTCGAGGGGTTGGTGTAACGGGGAGAGGGGGAACGCAGCCCGGGTTTATATGCATGACACGACCAGCACACACTTTTGCAATTCCAACACGGCGATTCCTTATCTCTGATCAAGAAGACGAAGAAGCGCTCCCGATCTTTGCTCCACAGACAAGGCCAGTAGAAGGTCCAAGCTGATCTGGCAGGTGATCTGCCCTCTTCCGCAAAGGGGGGGTATTAAAAAGGACGCCAGTGGTTTGTTTGCTTGCACAATCTTGATAACAGCGGCTTCCTTCTGCACCCTTGGGAAGGGGGGGGGCCTTAGACACGCTCAAGAGTAGGCAGAGATAGAGATAGGCGAGCTGATACCGGGGACTAAGTCTGTGGGACTAAAGGAAATAGAGTCTCTGCTGTCAGATTCCGCGAGTAGCACGCGACCGAAAGCTTGGTCCTTTGCAGGCCGGAGATGCTTCTGGGATGCTGTCTAATCGGCATCTTTTTCTTCGTATCCTTTAGGATCAGCTATATAGGTACTTTGTTTTGTTGATAAAAGTTTGATAAGAAGCTTTCAGTCTTATGACACCTTCTACTTTGAGAACAAAAGGAATTTAATCGTATGCCGGCCTCGTCCTCCTCCATCATTTGTGCAGTAAACAAGTCTCCTACGTTGACCATCTGCGCCTTTGTGTGTGTGTGTGTGTGTGTGTGTGAAAAACAAAATCCAGGCATAATCACTAATATGTATCTATCTTTGCTTCTCGTCCTGAAACCACCGGCCTCCCGTGTGACGATGGGGCTTCGTCCTACCAACCCGCTCTCTCTCTCTCTCCAGATTCTTGCCCAGCGGCAGTATGCTTGTAGCCACCTCGAACCTTGCCAATCCCGCACTCGAGGAGTTTGAGCCGCAAGCAGGGACCAAGACAGTTCCTCTCTCTTGTCTCTTATCTCTGTTCCCCCTGTCCCTCGTAGCCGGCCAAGAAGATCTTTTTGTGTTGCCATCCCGGACAGTTGTCAGATGAGATAGGGAGGAGACCGTTATATAAGATGGGCTATGAAGCACGCGTAGTCTTGTCTATTTAGTTAAACCTAGGTGAAATCCAACTCATTTACACACAAAGTAGGCCATGAAGATTGTTGGCGTAGCAAACAGGCTGTTGCAAAGGTGTGAGCTATCTGTCTTTCTCTCTCTTTTTTCTTCTTTTTTTTCTTCTTCCTTTTCCTTTTCTTCTTTCCTTTCCCCCTTCCTTCTCTACTGCTTTCGATTCTCGAGTGCGGCTGAGATGGAAGTCCATGGGTGGTGTGCTACTGTCGCTGTGCCGTTGTTATCTATCGCTGGCTAAGAGATGTCGTTATCACTGACATGGATGACGAATTTTGAATTTCTTGCGAATGGGACAAAAGATATATCTCAGCTTATAGGCGAGAGAGAAAACAAAAAGGTGCACTATTCTCTTTTGTTGTTGTCTCTCTTTCGTGCTCGTTACCCTTCCCCCTCGGGGCCACCAGTAACAAACTCTTCTGTCGGATATTTGGTGCTGAGTGCAGTGTAACCCCCCTCATCATGTCTGCAACGAGCACCGTTTTTGGCCCTGCAAAAGGACGGCCGTAGCGGGTGTATTAAGGACACACAAAGAAAATGCCTCGAGTGAGGAGTCCTTGAGTCGAGGCCCGATCTGCCGCACAGGGACAATGGCGTTGCTCGTGAGGCGGGGAAAACAGGTTGGGGGATGGGAGGTATAGGACTTTCTTTGTCCCTTCGACAGTCGGTGAACATGTTGCCGCCGTTGTCTTTGGTATGGGAAGGACGTTGGACATGAGGGTACAGATACCACGGCCAGAAAGCTTCAAAGGAGAATCGAAGAAGGGAGAAGAAGAAAAAAAAACACCTTCCATCTTGTTTTTGGCAGTAGACGTCACGTTGGGATGTTGCTCAACGAGGAAGGCACGATGAGATTGAGGTTGAAGCAGGCCTGCCCTGCGTCGCTGGTAACAGCCTCACAGCCGCTCATTCTTCCCGTCCTCCTTCTCTTCCCCCTCCTCGACAGCACGCAGGCCACGCACTCGTCTGGCCTCCGCTCGATAACAATGACCTCCCTCGAGAGCACGACCACCACCGCCTTAACGATCACTACCTCTTCGACCCGCACCATCACTCTCACCGAGGTTACAGCTGCTGCCGCTGCCGATACCACCACAGCCTCCAATGTTGTACCCGCACCTCGCGTGATGACCAAGGCAGGCAAGATGTATTCATTCGAAGGGTGCTTCGGGCATGGCAAGCACGAGTCGATCGGGGAGATACTGGGCCCGGGCTACACAGCACCGTGGGCTGCCAATATGTCACTATCACTATGTCTCAACATGTGCAACTCGGCTGCCGCTGCTGGAGGAGGAGGAGGAGGTGGTGGTGGTGACTCCAATGGAACGTCTTCTTTACCCTACGTTGGCGTCTCGGATGGCGAGTATGTTCATTTGCTACGTGCTTGCCGTTCTCTACCCTAAAGACGAGTCCTCGCGCTATGAGCTTGATAGCAGGGCAGTTGTTGTTGACCGGGCCTTCGCACTCCGTTTCCTAGATCATGCTACTGCAGCGCAACCCTCACCACGACAGCCCCCATAGCACCGACCAGTAACTGTACCATTCCCTGTGTGGGTAACAAGACTGAGGCCTGTGGCGGCAGGGCCTTCATGTCGATCTACAAGCTGGCCTCGGACAACAGCACAGCAGTGGCCCCGAAAATCAACAACGCTCCTCTCCCAAGCGACAGCGCTGGGGCCAGTAACGGTAATGTCAGCAGCAAGTCGAGGCGAGGGGTAGCTGTGGGAATCACGGCAGGGAGCATCGCAGGGTTTGCCCTGCTGATGCTCTTGATATTTGGGTGTACGAGACGGTGGACCCAGCGGAGGGCGGCGACGGCGGCGACGATGACGACGACCTCGACTCGACATAAGGAGAAAAATGCCCCGGAGGTGGACGTGGCGTCGGCCAATGACCCCATCGGGACAGTCTTCTCCGATAGCGACGATTGTTCCATACGTGACGTCAAAAGGGTCGACCTGGCCAAGCTGGACGGCGTGGTCCTGGACAATGCCTCCTCGACACCCATGTCGTCCCCACGTGCTGTTGGCGCCGTTGCTACCACGACGGGGGCCGAGTGGCGGGGCGAAGACTCCAGCCCCCTTACGCCGAGGACACCGAGGGCCATGATGGATGGGAGGCCGGTGACGATGTCGCTATGGCCCCAGCCGCCGGAGAGCATCGCACCGAAGCATGGGCTGGGCGAGCGGGCCTGGCATAGGCGGAAGTTGTCTGTCCCATTCCCGCCTCCGGGTGGGAGTGACACTGGGAGTGGGAAGAAGAACTAAAGCAATATTGGAGGATTCGATCTTGACTCAGTTACCTGGACGAGAACTCTTCGGAATAGTGATCCGAAAGAGGGTACTCAAGCTGTCCAAGGGCTGTCTGTCTGCATGTGTCAGTAAGAACAATGGAAGTCTATATGCGAGCAATGTGTCATTGGAAAGTGTTGAGAGAATGTAGCACGAATTCAACCTGGATGTCTCCCTCCTCTTCAGGCAAGACATTCTGGCAGTCTATACAAGCAGGAATTTATATGTAATTCCTTCAAGCACGGATCCAGACAAATTCAACCGCAAACATGTGGCTACGAAGGTAACATTGACAAGTTGTGCGCGTATGTATGGCACCAGCCACCCTACCTCCTAATCGTATGAGTGAGCCGCTTGAACTGAGAAGATCCTTTTTGATAAGTTTGGTAGCGAGCTTCGTTTGCCTACTGTTTTGGTGCTTGCACAAGCCCATATCATGTTTTGGGATGATGATGATGGTGATGATGATGATGGTGATGATGATGATGGTGATGATGATGATGGTGATGATGATGATGATGATGATGATGATGATTGGGTCACATTTTATTTGATTTGACTGGATCAGTAAGCCGATCCCTCCTAGTGTCTCGTCGAAGAAATCATATCTAAAGATGAATGGGAATCATAGAAGGACGACGGCTTTACTACGGTGCTCTAGGTACTGATGTAATACAAGACATCAAAAAGATGGAAGAAAGAAGAAAGGAAATCACCATGGAACCGAACAGGAAGCGTTCATAGGTGGGCAACAGTCTCGTGCCTTATTGTTTGTACTGTCGTCCGGGAGTTTGCATCTCTTGGACGGAGCTTTTTGTCTGTGCTGTTGATGTTATTGTTGTTACAATATCATGACCCCTTTTTTGTCATTATACGGTCACAACCAGGGATGGCGTGTCTGTGTTCAAGTCGATATCCCATTTTTCTAGCACAATACGAAGGACTGGTATTGACCATGCCCGCATTCCATGTAGCACTGCGATCAAATATGATTGTGATCAAGTGCACAGTCATGAGGATACTTCTTACAGCATTTTTCTCACTGCTAGGTCCTTACAAGAATGACCGCTACCACCTCAACATGGCAATAATAAATCATTACAAGCCAGCATCTGTATATGCTGTTGGCCTCTCCTTAAGAAGTCCAGTCTATCCTCTCTCACATCAGCTACAGAATCACCAATTCTTCTTCTCTCAAGCCCTCCCAGAGCAGAGTCTTGACCAAAAACATCCATAGAGAGCCCCCTCCTAGCCCAGCCTGCCAGCGCCATGTCACACCCCCCCCCCCCCCAACACCCCCCAATCTGGCGGCACTCGCACAGCGGCCGCAGACGAGCTCGCGCTCGCCGTCTGGCTGCCCAAGAGCCTGGCCGTTGCTAGTAATATTCCCACTCACAGCCTCCGCGACGACGGCAGCCACCCACAGTCCTCAACGTCACGCTCCCGTCCGTCGTCGTGACCGTCTCACGTTGAATGTTGAGATGACTTCATGCTAATGAGTTTCTCGAGCGAGTAGGCTGGTTTGGATGGGCTGATATAGTCAAGAGATTCGTTGGTTGAGTCAAGGTTAACTGTTGGAAAGTGGGTCGGGATTTTTGATCTGATTAGATTAGATTGACAGCCGCTATTGGTGGGATGATGAGGGTATACAACTTAACTCAAGTACTTATATGTAGAGCACATTCGCCTCCGTCGTCGTCGAGACCCGTATTCAATTCTAGAACTTATGGACAAAGAACAGAAGAAAGAGCACTCGCTATGCAGCTTGCGGTACGATGAGTGAAATGGAATATTCGAAATCCATTGTTTCTATTCTTGATCGACTGAATTCTTCTTACCTTCGAAACGCATTTGCTTGGACAGTACGACAGAAAAAAAAAAGAATAGCAGGCGAAGCATAATAACCTACCTCTCCAGGAATTTCTCGGCATCCTGATCTAGGCCCTCGACCATGCCCATGATTCAACACCCTGACAACCATGTTGCCTGCCATGTTCTTCCTGCCAACCTCACCTGCAGGACACGGCGCCAGGATCTATGCTATCAAATCCCGCCCCAACTCCTCCTGACGATCCAATGTGTGCAGTTTGTTGTACAGCGCTCTGATGAACCAATACCAATACCAATACCAACGACAAATGACAAAGTCGTGTTCGTGTCCTCCCCTGGAGACAGATCATACCGCCCAATGGTCCGCTTCATGAGTCTCAAGCTCGTCCGTCAGAAAATATCGTAGTCGCGACCCTTCCTAGTCGGGCTTGCACGGTCGACGGTCACCTGCCCGACGTAGGTCCTCACTGGTGAGGAGGACTTCACAGGCGAGAGTCTCACAGGTGTCCGCAGCACCCGCTCAGCAGCCCTATCTTTGACATAGTAGGGCTGCTGCTGCTCAGCACCCAATTGCTGACCCTACAGCATCGTGCCGAACAATCCATCCGAGGTGATGGGTTTCCTTCGCGGGCTGCCGGTATCCTCGTCTGCCTTCCTGTGACGGAAGGTGAAGCCGACGAACAGCGACTTGCCCATGTCGTCGTCGCGTTCGGCCATCTTCTCCAGTGCCGTCTGCTTCTCGTGGACCTCCTTATACTTGGCCATGTCGGCCTCGTTGGTGAAGTCGTCGAAATAGCCCGCGTCCGTCTCGGAGTCCAGCTCAGGAACGAATGGCGCCTTAGTCTCGCGCAGTGCATCCCAGTCCACCTCAGCAAAGTATTGATGCGCAAAGATGTCCTTGGTGTTGGAGAAGCGCTTCGAGCGCGAGTTGATGCAGGTCGTGATGAAGGTCCAGGTTCTGTTAGAGAGGAAGTAGTTGGGGTCTTCCCATACCGGCCTTTTCAGCACCTCTTTCCAGTGCTTCAGATTGCGCCACGTCTCGTCCGGGGTGGCTCCGGCGAACGGAGGGAACCCAGTCAGAGCCTCGAACAGCATACATCCGAGACTCCAGTAGTCGACTGTGTAGTCGTATTCCTCACCGCGGAGCACCTCTGGCGCCATGTAATCGGGCGAACCGACGATGGACTTGGCATAATTTGCATCCTTGTCTCTCATCGATCTGTACCCGTCTCGACGCTCTGCCACGGTCCGCTGGTCCATTGGCTTTCCAAAGGGCACCGAGGTCTCGGAGGCCTTCTCCAGGCGGACTCGCATCGACTCGATCTTTGCAGGTGCCAGGAAACCTGCGGCCAGGCCAAAATCGGTCAACTTAACGTGACCAGACGAGTCCACGAGGAAGTTCTCGGGTTTCAGATCACGGTGGATGTAGCCGAGCTGGTGGAGGGCATCTACGGAGCAGAACATCTCTGCAATGTAGAACCGAGCATGTCGGTTCGAGAGGACACCGGTGTTGTTCAAGAGCGTACGGAAGTCACCTCCAGGTACGTATTCCTATCAATTTTTTTAGGTCAAGCTCATATCAAGAACGTAGCACATCGCCCGTCCCTTGAGAAGTAGGAGCCTACTCACCATAGCAAGGTAGATATTCTTGTCATCCTGGAATGAGTACAGGAGGCGAACGAGCCACTGGCTTTTGGCAGTGGTCAGAATGTCTCGCTCAGTTAGGACGTGGCGGACCTCGTCCAATTTGAACAGCAATGCCTTGCTCATGACCTTCAGAGCGCAGACCTCCTTCGTATCCTTCTTCTGGGCCAAGAACACCTGACCGTAGCCTCCCTGTCCGACCTGTGTGAGGATCTGGAAGTCGCCCTGGCGAAGTCGCACTCTCCGCTTGCGAAGGTTAGCCCGCTCACGGCCAGTGTACTTGTGCCACACCTGCTTGTACGACGCCTCGTCGGTCTCGGGAGGGGCGGGAAACTCGGCCTGAAAAGCATTGAGCCGATTCTGACGGTTGCCGACGTAGGTGAGGAGGTCGAAGTAGTAGTCGAGGAAGTCTGCGTGCGTGTTAGTGTGTCGTTCCTGCAGAGCATCGTGTTCTCCCTCGCGGGGCAGCTGGCAGCTGAATGGTTTCCTTCTTACACAGTTGGGTCACATTGACCATGCGTCTCACATTCGGCTTCTGCAGGATCTCACGCTCCTCGGCCGTAAGGCCGCGTGCAGTGTCGAACTTCTTGGCTGGAGGGGCCCCTCGAGAGCTTTGATATATATCCTGTCTGGACAGCGCAGCATGGCTTGGTAGGGCCGACAGTGTAGGAACGGTCTTGGATGCGGCGGGTGGAGTGTTTTCCTGGCCCTGATGTTTTAGTGGCGGGGAGGGGCTGCGCTTATGTGTTACACTATCGTCGACCAGCAGCGTGGCGTTTGCGACGTCCGCATCAGGCGGCTGGAAACCGTTTCCCTTGCCAGGCGAGAGGCCCTGGACGACGGACTGCGGACGGCCCAGCCTGATGGGGGTATCAAAGACGTTGGCGCCCAGCTTTGGGTGGTTCTCGTGGGCCTGAGGAAGCTCATGGGCGCCAGGTGGGAAGGACCTCTTGCTGGGGCTGCCCACAGGCGTGCTGGCGGGCTCAATAAATGTGTTCCTGACGGGGGTCTCGGGGCGGCCCAGATCGATCTTGTTGCTATTGTCCTTGCCGCCGGCCGCGAACACGTTGGACATGAAGTTGGCCATCTTGCAGGCGTGCTGTGCTATCAGGCGGGCTGCGTGATCGAGTCGCTTTATTTCTTGTCTTTTTTTTTTTTTTTTTTTTTGGAAACGGTGCAGCGACGTTACTTGCGGCCCAAACGTCGAGTGTGGCTGATGCTCGACGGCGGGGTAAACAAGAAATAATGACGAGGGGGACTTGGGGTGGTACGTTGTCGAGTGGTTGCGATGCCAGCCAGCAGAGGAGATAAAGACGTGTCGAAATGACAAAATGCGCAAACAAACACACAAGACAAGAGATTGTGATGTTGCAAGGCCAGTGCTGCGTCGATGATTGGGCAGTGGTAGGGAAGGCGCATGCCCGACTCGAGCTGACTTGAGGTTGACACGGACAAACGCGCACCCTCACATGTGAGACTGGGCCAACAAGCGGTGGGGTTTGTTTTGGCGGGATGCGGTTCTGACAATGCAACGGCAAGGAATGGTAAATGAGTTGCAGAGGAAGACAGCCCACTTTTGGGTCCACTGCTGTAGTAGCAGGAAATCCGCCGCAGCGTCAGCGACCCCGCCGAAAACACCTACTACCACTGGCCCTGTTGGTGCAGCAACAGCGCGCTAGAACGCGCCAGAGATCCCCAAACTTTTGCATTCCAGGCCCCCAGGCTCTTCCCTCATCAGGGATGTCCCTGACGACCTGCAACACACCCTTTGCAAAGTTCTACCAATGGGCACCGGTAGTATTCCAACTATCGCACATATCTTTTTCCCCTCCAAATCTGGAACGAGTCTGCTTTATTTGATGAAGCAAAGTGCAGGCTGCTGAGTGGCCTTGATTGAAAAAAAAAAAGAGCCTCTGTGAATTAAGACATGTACAGTATGATCAAGGCGATCAGACCTAGCGGCACGAACCTTCCTTCCATAAATAGGCATCAACTGGAACAAGTCTAGACGTCTTTTGTGAGCCTTATGTGTGACAACGCGATTAGAGCTGTTAGCAGCTGGACTGTGTATAGAGGAAGGCTCTCCATATCTCTCTCTACGAAATCACTCCGCAGGCAATATGTTTCCCGGTGCAAGCAAGGCGTCAGGTAAGAATACAGTCATCTCAAGATTCGGATAGGTGTTCGATCTCGAGCTCTATGTACGGTAGCGACGAGGTCTTCGCGGCTTTGACGATGAGTCTCCGTCAAAGAATTTGAACTCTACGGAACCTTTCCGCATGATTACTCACTGACTTCTTTTGCACCTCCGACTTGATGAGGGATCCGTTCAGCATGCTACATGTGCAGGCGCCTTGCGACGAGGTGGGCGTTATATGGCTCAACGGTTCCCTTGAAAAGTCCGGACTCACTTGAGAATGACTTTGAACGTAAATAAGACTTGAGTCCGTTTGATCGAAACTCGGGTTCTCCAGACTCGTCGTCCCAGCGCCGGCTGCTACTGCCGGCTGGTAGGAATCGCTAACGAGACGGTTATATGGAACGGCTCATTCGGTGCACTGCGACAATGGGTGACAACATATGCTATATTTATAGGCCATAAGGCACGTCCAGCCCAGTGACTATTCCGCACGATTCCACCTCCAAGAACTGTCCAGGAATGTGACATGGCGGGGACCGGTGTAGAGGTGAGGGCGAGTATTCCAGTCTGTGGCGATACAAGGCATCGTGGAACATTGGGAGTTTGAGATTAGACGACGATGAACAGCGGTCTTTGAATCAAAGTACGAACAGCAGCAACTTCTGCGACAAAGCCGATAGCACAGATGCATTTCAATTGGATAATTCACTCTTAGTTGGCAACAAGGTCCAAAGCCCAACCCGCCCTTTCTAGTCACAAAGGCTCCATCACAGTATGGATCAGAAAGATAATTGCGTTTGTGTGATCAGACAGTCGATCGAATTCTCTAGACGTTCGTGAAGACTGAATTAGGCGTCCTCGGGCGCCCGGTTGCGAAGGACCCCTACGCCGAAAAGCAGTAGAAACACAGATGCAAATTCCATGATGCCCGTAGCCGATCTCGTTGTAAAATGAAATATCCTTTTCAGAAATTCGTCCCTTCCAATTTCCGGAGACCGCCGGCCCAATCCGTAGAGGGTAGTCCTCTAGTCTTCTGGTCCATGTTGTTCCGATGCCCGCCCGTCACCAGTTCATCCCGCCGAAGCACCCGGTGTGCGCTTACGAGGTGGGGTTGGGGTTCATCTGTCGCGCTGTGTCAGCCAGAGTTGCCTTCTCCTTCAGGGGCACAAGACGCAGGGCAGAGGGTGGCACAGCCATCCATCTGCATCTGCTTGCGGTTTCCTTGGTACTGACCTTTCTCTTGCCACCGGTGAGCTGGACGTTCACGAAGCGGCGAGTGTACTTGAGCCTCTTCATGGCACGGCCCTTACTGCTCTGTTGTCAGCATAATCCAAGACATCTCCTTCTTCTTGTCGCATGTTGGATCGACTTTTGAGGGAAGGGAAAGGGGATTCGTTGATCGAGGGTCGCGCGTCGGGGGTTTCATCACACGTACGGCAGCTTCTTCTTCTCTGTATCAAAGAATTTTGTTAGTATTTGTGTATTTATCAAGAAGAGACGAGAATTTCGACATTGCGCACCTTGCTTCTCAACCTTGGGGGTCTGAGACTTGACCTTGCCGGCACGGGCCCTGTTTGTCGAAGAATTTGTCAGAAATTTTTCGCCCACTTGTTCGTCGCTGCAGCAGCCAGCCTGACGCCGGTCGTCCTTACAGAGATCCGTGAACCTTTCCCATTTTCGATGTTTATTTGGTGACTGTCGATGTTGATGATCGGTGTCTGGATGGTAGGGGGGGGGGGACAGTCGATGGTTTGTCGATTGAAGGTTGTCGGACGGTGATGAGTCGTTGGAGGAATTCTTGGTGGGTTTGCTGAGGTTTGCCCCCGCTGGCAGTGGGCGGCGAACCGATTCGGGCTAGCACCACAAATCACGTGCAACTTGTCGGCGTTAAGATAAAACCACGATAAGCCTAGTAGGAGGGAAGATCAAGAGGTGACGCTCTTAACCTCGACATCGTACAAGCAGACCGACAGAATGGCCAAGGAGAAGAATTACAACCCGGTGCAGGCTCAGCGGAAGGCCGACAAGGCTAAGGCTATCAAGAAAGGTGCGCAATCTCCTAGTTCTCTCCCTTTCCCTTTCGTTTTCTCTGACGACTAACTTGGTCTCTGTTAGGAAAGGCTGATGTTGCAGCCAAGCGCAATGAGCGCCTTGCAAAGCGCAACCCGGAGCGCATACAAAAACAAGTCGATGACCTGAAGGCAATCGCCACTGGTGGTGGCAAACTTACACGACACGAAGAGCAGCTTCTGGAAGGCCTGGGAAAGGAGCTCAAGGCAGTGCAAAAAGCTCGCGAGGCACTCGGCGACGCAGCACCTCAGTTCAGGCGCGACGGGCCACCACGCGACGGAAACAATGACCGAGGAGTGCTAGGCAAACGGAGACGAGACTTTAATGATGCCCAGTCGAGCAGTGACAGCGATGTGCCTGAGGACGTCAAGGCCATCCCCATGCCGAGGGACACGCCACCGCCCATCCCGAAGGAGTTCATGGATAAGTGGTGGGCCAAGAGGAGGGCAAAGAGGAATACAAATGCCAACACTGAGCCGCTTGGGCGTGACAGAGGCATTGGCGGGGAGGGCGGTAATGATAACGAGCGTTCTATGACGAAACCACCAGCACCGGTGGTCGAGAGCAAGACGGTGTACGAAGCCAAGCCCATGGTGAGGGATCTAAGGAAAGAGGCTGCCGCCTTTGTTCCGACCGTTGTGAGGCAAAAGCTGGATAAAAGCCAGGGCAAGGGCGGTCTGATGGAGCCCGAGGAGGCGGACAGGTTGGAGCAAGAAGGGTACCTGAAATCTGCAGCCGCCATGACAACGGATGGCCCGTCGACCGAGATCGAAGATGGTTCGGCACCTGCACTCAGGCATGTCACCATGGAGGAAATTGAAGACGACGAAGACTGAAAGAAAACCAAAACAAATTGTCTGGGCGACTCAGCCACACAAGGAATGAATTCACCTATAGTCGTGGAGATATCGCAAAAGGTATTGCTGAGCCACGCACGTCTTTCACGGTTTGTGAGTACCTACATACCTACCTATTTCACACACTTCCCAATAAGGCCCTTACCGTAATCATATGGAAATTGTAGGACACGTCAATCAATCCATATCCTGCGGCATTCCTTGGCAACTAACAAGATCATGTCCAGTCCACGTTCTACAATGAAACATTGGTAGCCAACTGTCTGGGCTCCCATCTCAGTGGACTGCCAGCCTCAGGTGCTCTAGCCTCTGCAGACATAGTATTCCGGCTACCTTTGGTGGCCTCGTGCTATGACAGCAAGTCTCCTTGCTGTTCGAAACATTTAGTATGGTCCAATGAGAGGCGGACTCGATCCGCGGCCACCACCAAGAGGCAACACCGACATGTCGAACAGAGACACATGCTAATGGCGAGAGTACGAATCTGAGGGACAACGGTGGACTCTGGTTTGGTGGTGCCACGCCGTAAACGAGTCTTCACAATTACGTGCAAGGTATACTGCCAGTTATCACAAAATTAACCTGAAGGAGCAACATTCTCCCGCTGGACTCCTACTTCTGACAAATGGCGGGGTTACGGATGACATGTGCAAACTCGTGATTGGGCATGGAGGAGGATGTTGGGAGTGTGGCATCCTTCTCGTCTGCTCTGCCGCCTCGCCTCCTTCAGTCTGGGGATAGCATAGTCAATATTTCAAATATCTCTTATCCCAAGGACCCATAGAATGTCGGCTTCCAGCGGGTCTCCACATCAACTGACTGGGGGGGGGGGGGTTGACCCATCCATCCGAAAACGGAAGCAGACCGGCAAACGATTGTTTGGTGGAAGGCGTTGAATCTAACAAAATAATGACGACGGGTGTGATTTCAACAAGTCGACCGTATGCGCTGTTGAGTTGATGATTTAGTTGAGCACGTGCTACTTTCCCAGTTCCGTTCAAAGAGTTTGTCATGGCTATAGAGACTCTTCCAACTCTAAACAACCTTGAGAACAACTGGACATATAGCAGTGGCGGTAGCGGTGGTGGTGGTGGAAGCGGTTCACTATGGGGGGACTCGGTGGCCGTGAAGGCTCCATACGAGCCAGCGAACAGTTCGGGCGCGGCTGAGCTCAGGTCGCGGCACGAAGAGATGGAGGAAATCGACCACGACTCTGGCTCGAGATCCGACGAGATGGAGGATGAGAAGGAGAAGAAGAGCAGCCAGGCGCCAGACATGGCAGCCAACCTACCCACCGCGCCTGATCTGCTTGTTGTTCCAAGCAACCCCGAGCCAGACCTGCGCAGGCGCTCAACGTCGTCCAGCACAGAACATGAGACCTACCCGGAAGGTGGCCTGCAGGCATGGCTCGTTGTGTTTGGCTGCTGGCTTGCCCTCATCGCCTCTCTGGGTCTGCTTAACACGCTGGCCACCTTCCAGACGTACCTGACCACACACCAGCTGGCGCACTACAGCGACGGCACCGTTGGGTGGATCTTTTCTCTTCACACGTTTGTTGTGTTCTTCTTTGGGCTGTACATTGGTCCTCTATTTGACAAGTACGGGCCAAAGTGGATTGTCCTGGCTGGTATGCTCTGCATTGTCACTGGCATGATGCTGTTTAGTATATCCACCGGTATGTTTTTTTCTTCTTTTCTTGTTCATTCTTTTTCTTCATATTAAACGTGATATCCACTCCGAAATGTTTTCTACGTGGCTGGCCATATAAATGAGTGAGAATGCTGAATCGACTCATCGTGCCTCTCCAAGAACTCTGGCACTTTATCCTATCCTTTGGTGTCCTTACAGGCCTGGGCTGCTCCCTCATCTTCATCCCCTCCTTTGCCGCGCCGGGCCACTACTTTATGCGCCGGCGGGGGTTCGCAACAGGCTTTGCTGCAATGGGCGGCTCCATCGGCGGCATCATCTTCCCGCTCATGCTCGAGTCCCTCTTCCCGCGCCTGGGCTGGGGCTGGTCGATCCGCATCGTCGGCTTCCTGTGTCTCTTCCTCTGCGCCATCGCCAGCCTCCTCATCCGGCGCCGCCTGCCCCCGGCCAAGAACGCCAGCCCGCACCCAGACTTCCGCATCTTCAGGGACCGCGCCTTCTTGCTCACCACCGTCGGCGTCTTCCTGATGGAGTTTGCCCTGTTCATCCCCCTGACCTACATCTCGAGCTACGCCCGCGCCGCCGGCTACAGCAGCTCCCTCTCCTTCCAGACCGTCCCGATCCTCAACGCCGCCTCCGCCCTGGGCCGCGCCCTGCCGGGCTACTGGAGCGACATCATCGGCCCCTTCAACATTGAGCTTCTCATGATGCTCCTCTCCATAGTCGCCTGCTTCGCCATCTGGCTTCCCGCCGGCTCCTACACCGCCGGCCTCGTCCTCTTCGCCGTGCTCTTCGGCTTTGCCTACGGCGCCTTTGTGAGCACCACGCCTGTGTGTGTGGGCCGCCTGTGCAAGACCCAGCAGTATGGGCGGTACTATGCCACCTGCTACACCGTTGTCAGCTTTGCCTGTCTGATTGGGGTTCCTATTGCGGGAAATATCTTGACGAGTGATGGTGGCGCATACTGGGGGGTGATTGTCTTGACGGGGTGTTTGTTTGTGGGGGCCTTTGTGTGTTTGGGGGTTGCCAAGGGGTGTAGTGTGAACTGGAAACTGTTGGCTATTTTTTGAGGTGCTTCGGGTTGTTTATATGTGTCATGTGCAGGTGCAAGAAGAGCAGGAGGAAGTCCTAACCTCTCCCTTCATTGTACTAGATCTTAGTAACTGTACCATAACACACCACAGGAAGTTTTCGGCTGGTTGTATTCATATCGCCAGTCATTATCTTCCTCTCCTTTCTCTCGACCAAGTCAAGCTACTGGAACACCAAGACAATCACATTCTCATCCAGACCTCTTCCCAACAACAATCCCACCCTACTGTTTCAATCTCGAATGTTTCTTATCATATTCTCAACGAAAACTTGCAATATCAGAATGACCTCTAATTAATCTATGACTGTTCATGACCAACCACAATGGTGACATCATCCTCAACTTCTTGCTTTATTTGGTCAACATGGTAAGACAATGCAAAACATTAATATAGGCATCATGATTTAGTGTGAAAGGTTTGACAATGTTATATGCATAGTTAAAGTAACTATTCGTCGTCAGCGAATTTTGCATTCTTTAGTTGAGGTCCAAAAAATTGTCCAAGCAAGGGAGATAGATCATCGACGTGCCTTTCAAAAGAGAGACTCCCCACGTGAGAAAAAAAGAGACGTAAAAAGTTACAGCCAGTTCCCGCAACGTATATCATAACACAATTTGAGAAAAAAGAACAGAAAAGGACAAATCCTGGCGCGTGGAAAAAAGGAAGAAAAATAGCAGAACGCCATAGGCTTGCCAGCGGGTATAGTAGCATAACTCCCACAAATCTCTAACAATACTTGAACATTTTCGTCCTCATACATTATCCTCCGCCCCCCCTCCTTCCTTTTCTCTCTCTTAAACACCCCAGCCTCCCTTCTCCGCAATGCTCCTGGCAAGCTCCATGATACTCGCAGCCCCGATGACCTCCATGTCCGTGATCTTGACGCCCAAGTTCTTGAAGATCCAGCTTCGGAAGCTGGAGGTCACGAGCGAGTCCACCCCGTACGCCGTCAGGCTCTTGTCGGCGTCCATGTCGGCCGAAGACATACTGAGAGACGCCGACAGGTAGTTGATGCAGCCGCGCAGCACCACCTCGCACGCATCATCCAGGCCGTCCGCGTGCCGGAGGGCCAGGGCCAGGGCGCGGCCGCTGTTTTGGGACGACTGCGACGAGAAGGACCCATTGGTGGTGATGGTTGTAGTAGGCGACATGCCGCGGCTACTGTCGTCGGATGGGGCCTGGGGCTGGTCGATCTGGTTCAGGAGCTCGAACAGCTTCGTCTCGGCCCAGTACGGGTCCGAGACCTCGTTCTGAAGAATGAGCCCCCCTGTGCCGACACCAGTGACGACCTGCGGCGGCAGTGAGAGAGGGCCGCCGTGGCCGCCACACATGGCACGCTCGACGAGGAAGAGGTAGTCTTCCAGAAGCACCATGAAGAAGCCGCTGGCCTTGAGCTTGGCGCAGGTGGCGTCGTCGTCCTCGAGCATGCCCGCGCCTGCGACTGGTCCAAGGTCAATCGAGACCGAGTGCATTCCCTTGGAGGCACGGTGCCAGGCCAGCGCGTCCTGATAGCAATTGCCAGCTGCGTAATTTCCCTGGCCGCGGTTGCCGATGACACCTGATGCCGACGACAGGAAGATGAAAAAGTCCATATCCTGCGGCAGGACCTGGTGCAGATTCCACGAGCCTACGATCTTGGGACGTGTCGTGGCAGACCACTCCTCGTACGTCATCTTCTCCCACACGGCGTCGGCGATGACAGCAGCGCATTGCATAGCACCCTTGATGGGTGGCATGTCGGCGCTGGCGAGGGCCTGTCGGAGGGCCTCCTCGTGGCAGATATCCACAGCAAGGGCCTTGGCAAGAACGCCACGTTGTGACAGTGACTCCAGGAAATCGACGTCCTTGAGGGCTTTGGCACCAGATCGTGACAGGAAGAGCAAGTAGCGAGCACCACGGCAGACCATCATTTCGGCCGCTGCCTTGCCCAGCCCGCCCAGACCGCCGGCTAAGACGTAGGTCGCATTGGGATCCAAAGACACTGGCTTGAGAGGGTTTGTGCCCAGACGAACCACAGAACTGTCTGTAAAAGTCACAGTGTTCAGATGTCGGCCAGGCCTGGCAGACATGGTCTCCCAGAGATCATCTAGGTGCTCCACGCGTTCCTCGAGCACGAGGCTGTCGGGACACTTCCCGAGCTGGCCTGAGAGTTGCAGCTCGAGTACCTCTGACCACGCCTTGGAAAAGACCTTTTGGCGCTTCTCAAGCAGAGCAAAGAGGTCAAACTTGTGGAAGGAGATGTTGGCGTGTTGAGGGATGACAGCTGTGGTTAACATGGTCGCATTGGCGTTGACGATCAGAAAGAGGTGGCCATTCGTGGCGACGCATTGCGAGCTCAGATCGAGGTGGGCAGGGGATGGCGAGAAGAACAGTTCCACGCCAGCTCCTCCTGTCAGACGCATGATCTCGTCAGGGAAGCGATCGTTGGTCGTGTCGATGATGCAGTCCATGGGAATGTCGTAATTGGTGTGGATGAAGTCTTTTTCCTCTGCATTCAGGACGCCAACGAAGGTGGTTGCTCCAAGAGCCTTGGAGAGGCGAAGGACTGCGTCGCCGTATGGGCCGCAAGCACGATCGACGAAGACCATATCTCCCGAGGAGATGCATCCGACCGTGGTGAGCCCATAGTAGGCAGTGACCAAAGCAGTCGGGCTCAAACCCCGGATTGATGACCGATCTTGAAGCTTATGAACGAAGCTTTGGTTCAAAATAATGGAGGTTTTGATGGTGCTTCGCGCCAGAGCAATCACAAGGCTGCCGATAGGGAGACCAGTGACGTTGTTCCCCATCTCTGTCACCGTGCCGACGACGTCAGCGCCCAAAACACTCTCGCTGCTCTTGCCCATGATGGTTTCAAGATCAATGGGGAACAAGTGGGTGCTATCGACCGTGATGCGGACTTCGTTGGCGCCTAGAGGTCGTTGGACCGACGCGTCAGTCACAAAATATGTGCTCTTGATGTCAGTGACATGGCCAACTTTGACTTCGACAGGGCCTTCGATCTTCTCCAAAGTCAACTTCTGGATCTGGATCGCTTCATCATCCCCTTTTTCGATGACGTTGTTCAGTGCTTCCAGAGGACGCAAGCGAGCACCGAAAAGCCTGCGATCACGCAGAGAGTATTCAACTTCAGGAATAATGTCCAGATTAGGCTTGACAAAGGAAGACTTGAATACCCATGTGATTGCAGACGCCGACGCCGACAGGGCAGCTTCGCCCTGGCTCTGAATGGTACCGAGATCCAGAGTGACAATGCGTTTCGACGAGTCCTCCGAGCGGATGGTCCTGGCCAGACCGTAGAAAGGCGCCTTGGCGGGGTTGTCGACCGCATTCTGAGCACCCGTCGTGACCCAGAGCAGGCCGCTTGTGGCCGTCAGAACCTTTTTGAGCAGAGAAAACGTCTGGGGCTGCATGTCGAACAGGAGGGACTGATCAATCTCGACGAGGGAAATACAAAGCTGGTGCATGTGCTGCTCGGACAGCTGTGACAGGCGAACGGGCTCAAGACTCGGCAGCGCAAGATGACGGAGCACAAGGGTTAGTTCCGCCGAGATGTTGCCGTCTGGAAGCAAAAGAATGCCCGTTTTCCCCTCGTCGACAGCAGTCGTGCCATTCGTGTATGAAGGCACAGGCCCTAGATCATGCCAGAACATCTCGCTGCACAGATTTCGGTTGCTCGGCAGAAAGCTCGAGGCGTCGGAGGAGATTTTGACAAACTCCATCCCCTTGACGACAACCATGGGCTTGCTGAATGTCGCATCAGACATGACAATATCAGCCTGCGCCTCTCTAAACCCCTTGAGCTGGGCAGTCGCATAACCATGAAACTTCGCACCGGCACCGCGGAGCATGCCTGGGGAAAAGGTGATCTGGCGGATATAGGAGGGTACCATGGTAGAGTCTCCAATCGCAAAGACAGTTTGAAACATGGTGTCGAGGGTCGCGGGGTGGATCAGGTGGTCATACTCGAACTGTGCAGGCATCTTGGACTTTGTATCTGGTATGCGGACAATACTGGTGCAGGCCCGCTGACTCTTGGAAAGGGCAACAATGTTTTGGAACATGGGGCCATAGTTCAGGCCAATCCCATCCAGACGCTCGTAGAGCTGTCGAGGGTTGATGGTCCGGGTGCACTCAGAACTGAGCTGCTGGTAGGTGCCGTGGTGGTCCTCCCCGTGAAACATCGCCTGACCTGGCACGCCAGTAGCCTTACCGCTGTAGAAGATGGTAAAGAGACCTTCTGCGTTCTCCTGCCAGTGTCCATACTCTGTCCTCGTCATTATTGAGAAAGAGTAGACAGTCGAGCAGTGCGTCGCGTCAGGCGAGGGAACCTTCATCACCTTGGTGTTGAGAATGTGTTCCAAGCCGTGCGGCCCTGCTGGTATGATGACCGGCTTGATGATGTTAAAATTGGAGATCTGGTATGCGTCCACTGAGAGTGATGGTTCGCTACACTGTCTTGCAGCTTCCAGGGCCATAGTGAGAAGACCAGAGGCCGGGTAGATGATGGTCTTCTGGACTTGGTGGTCTGCCAACCAGGGGTTCTCTTCAAGTCTGAAGAAGCCGCGCCATCGAGGGTCCTGTGGTGTTGATTCAACAAGAGGCGCGCCGATCAGGTCCTCGCGGCCATGCTTGCGGAAACGAAGGGCGGTGCCCAGGTGTGACTCAAACCAGTAGGACTTGGAGTGATTGAAAGGATAGGGAGGCAGATCGACAAGAACCTGCGGCAGGAAACCCTCCTTGCTCTTCCACACCCAGGAGAGCTCTAAAGGAACACCCCGCGACCAGATCTCCCCCAGAGCCTCAAGCATCGTGACTGAGGCTTGGTGATTATACTTGAGCAGAGGAATGCAGCAAAATTCCTTGCTCTTCCTGGAGTCAATCGCGCTGACAATCTCCCGGATTGGTCGGTTCAGCGTCACAGATGGGCTGACCTCAATGACAAACTTGGGTTTCACGGCCTTGTACATGGCGGAGAAGGCCTGGTTGTAGAGCACAGGCGAGACCAAGTTGGCAGACCAGTAACTCGCATCAAGCAGGGCGCCGTCAACAATCTCTCCAGTCACGGACGAGAACATCTTGGGGCCTTGGTTGCTCGTCAACGGAGTGATGCCCTGGAGCGACTGCTTGTATTCTTCTTCGACAAGCCGCATGTGATGAGAGTGGTAGGCGGTCGTGACAGCCAGCACTGTGTACCACACATGATCGGCAGCCAGCATGTCAGCGATGTGAAGAATCTGCTCTTCATCGCCAGACAGAGTGACAGACGCAGGGCTGTTTTCGCAGGCGATCACAACAGACCCAGGGGCGACCGCCTTGACATACTTCCTGGCCTCAGCAGCTGAGAGACCCACGGCTATCATTTGACCTTTGATCGCGGTGTGCCGGTGCACAATGGAGTTGGCATACTGTCCGCGTCGAAAGGCGATGAGCCACGCGTCCTCCCTAGCGAGGTAACCAGCGGCGTAAGCAGCTGCAATCTCACCAGAGGAATGACCGACCACAGCCTCAGGACAGATTTTGGAAGCCCTCAGCAGGTCGACAAGGGCAACCTGTACTGCCGTAGTCGCAGGCTGGGCAAACTTGGGCTCGTGGATGCGGCTGAGGGCAGGATCATCTTGCTGGAGCTCTCTCAGGAGATCGAAGTCGCTACCGACGATCTTGGACAGGTACTTTGAGGCGCCAACAAGGCTGTTGCAGAAAGGCTCGAACTCCATCAGCTCGCGGCCCATGGCGTGCCACTGGGCGCCCTGGCCGCAGAAGACCATGGCAAACTTGGGTTTGCCGGTATTATCGGCAGCGAAGCGTTGGATCTTGTAGGCTTCTGGGTCGCTGAGCCGCGCAGCTAGTCGCTGTGCCGACTGGGCGACAACGAAGGTCCTGTACTCGAGCGTGGAACGACGGGATAAAGTATAGGCGTAGTCGGCGAGGATGCTGGCATCTTCAGCATGACTGGCGATGAAGGGCGCATGGCCTTCAGTGATCTTGGCGATGCCATTCTTCTCATGGGACGAGATGAGGCACAGCTGCGTGCTGGCAAAGGTCTTTTGTTTCCTATTGACAGTGCTGCTGCCTTCAGTCGTGGGCACAGATCGGTGGTTGCCAGGCAAGGCTCGCTGGGAGAGATACGTGCCAGCATCGTCGAGGATAATGTGGGCATTCGTTCCGCCAAAGCCAAAGCAGTTGACACTTGCTCGTCGAAGACCATCCTTGGGCCAGGATGTGAGCTTGGTGGGAACCTAAGAAAGAGAGAGAGACAAGAGGGAGGAGGGAGGAAAGTCAGCCTTATCCGTATTACATAAGCATGGGATTCCCAACGTAACTTCATGCCTACCTTCACTTTCCACTCTTCAAAATGTATTTCGGGGTTGCTGATGGAGGGGTCGAAGTAGAGATTCTTAGGAATTTTGCCCCTCTCCACAGCCATGACCGCCTTGATCAGCCCAGCAACACCAGCTGCGCCCTCCAGGTGACCAACGTTGGGCTTGATGGACCCGACGTAGATGGGGTCGTCGGCGTCGCGATTGCTGCAGAACGCCTTAGAAACGGCAAAGGTCTCCTTGGGATCGCCTGCTGGTGTGCCTGTACCGTGGCACTCGACAAAAGCAGTCTGGTCGACCGCGAGTCCCGCCTCCTTGTAGACGGCCTTGATGTTGGACAGCTGTGCAGCGGCGCTGGGCATGGTGATACCAGGCGTTTTGCCATCTTGGTTGACTCTGGACCCTCGGATCACCGCGCGAATGGTATCATTGTCCCTCAGCGCATCGTCGAGCCGCTTCAGAACCACCACACCCACCCCCTCACCGCGCCCGTAGCCTTCTGCCTTGTTTGTAAAGGTATAGCATTTGCCATCCTTGCCAAGGAAGTTCAGTGCTGTCATGGGCATCATGGTTGCAGGGGTGAGAATCATGCCGACGCCCGCGGCAATGGCAAGATCGGCCCGTCCCGTCCGTAGGTCCTGGCAGCCATTGTGTACCCCCACGAGGCTGGCGCTGCAGCCCGTGTCGACAGTCTGGCTGGGCCCGCGGAGATTGAATTGATACGAGATGCGGTTGGCAAGGATGGCATTACCTGTGCCTGTGGCTGCGTACTGGGGTGCCCAGTCTGAGTCACGAAGAACAACTTGCTCGTAGTCTGAAGAGTGGGGAGAGAGAAAATAGGAGTGATTAGCCATCACTGTGCTTTGATACTTGATGAATCAATGTGTTGCGATGGGCAGGGCCTATATACCTTTGACGAATGTGCCGACGTTGACTGACGTCTCTGATAGATCAAGAGACTCTTTTGAGTATCCAGCTGCATGTAAAAATTCATTAGCAACTGCTGTGCTGCGCCAATGGTGAAAGTAAAGAACAAATCAAAACGCATTCCATGGACTTACCATTCTCGAGAGCCTGGTATGTGACCTCCAGCAAAAGGCGCTGCTGCGGGTCGATGGCCTGTGCCTCTGTCTGTGAGATGTTGAAAAAGGACGCGTCGAATGCCTTGATGTTGCCCTTGAGGAAATGCGCGCCTTTGAAGCCGATGGAGCCCTGTCTACTTCCGCTCGGGTGGTAGAAGCCATCGATGTTGACGCGGTCGGCTGGGAATTCAGACCAGGCGCTGTCGCCCTTCTGCAACATCTCAAAGAGAGACTCGACATCCTCACCATCGCCGGGAAATCGACAGGCCATGCCTACCACGGCGATAGGCATGACCTTGTCTGGATCTGGATCATGATCCATCGTGGACTTGGTGAGTATATCTCGACCCTTTAACGACAAGAGCCGTAGTGGGACTGAAAGGGCTGGATGTCTGGGATGTGAGATGGAAAGAGGGTGTGAGGTATGGGGAATAGGTGTGCGTGCGTTGCGACCCAAAGAGCCAGCATGGGCGTTGGTGAAAACGGATTGAAGTTGAGTGTAAGCTGGAGTCGTTTGCAGAGAGAGAAAGACTGGGTGAAGGGTTAAATACACCAAAGGTCCAGCGCTGGGTTGATGTAGTAATAGCTACTTTGACAACAAGTATCGGAGAAGCTGCTTGACATTCACTGTGTTGTACTGAGTACGTGAATTTCTGGCCCAAGAGTGAAGTTGATATGTAATCTGAAGCCGGTTATGTACTATGCCGACAAGGTAGCGTGAATTGAATTTCCAGCTCAATAGAGATCGATAGGCAACAGTTTCTGGCTTGGCCTCTCGGCGGGTGAGATATTAGTGAAAACCCAAAACTTCTAGCCCCACCATTCATGTAAGTGTTCGCCCACTTACAGCACTGCAGCAGCATTTGAAGGCTCGCAAGAGAGAGACAGTTGAGGTGGCTTCTGATCCAGAGCTCGCAGTAGATCTTCACAAAGTTTCCCCCAGAGGTGGTTCAGAAAGTCAAGCCGTCGTAAGCCCAGCCGACCTCAGCACCAAATATGACTTGTGGCGATGTTATATACCCGTGTCAACCCGCTGTCATTGTCCACTGAAAAGGTGAGCCCAACTTTCAGGCTAGATAGGCGATGAGACGATGGGGCCTAGACTGCGAAAGACTGGATCGTGGTGTAGCGGGGACGCACGGGATCTAAACCTACGATCCTCCCCCGCTGGCCAGAATTCACAGTTAGTTCCCCTCCCCTGAGGATCCCTCGCTCAGCCAGTGTCCGAAAGATGACGATGATGACGACCCTCGGGGTAAGCAGGCTCTAAACCGAACGGGCCACACAGATCGATGAAGTATGGCACGGCAGATATTGACCAGCGCCAAAAAAGCAAGAAAGACGATAGGAAGGCCGCTCGCTCGACAACAGAACTCTCTGCTCCCTGAAGCCGTCCATTGGGATGATATTGGACATCCAGGCTTGCAGGAATTTCCGAGGTACTAAGAACTTGCCTCCCATATGCAAGTAGCCATGTGCATGCATGAGAGGAATTGTTTCTTCTTGCAGTACCCGGCAAAAGAAAGAAAGTTGCGGCTGGAAAGAGCACCAAGGAATGGTTTGGACTGCCAAAACCCCGCATCAGAAGCTGAACAATAATCATACCATCAGCACACAAGAGAACGAATAGGAGGAAAGATGCAGAACACAACCATCAGGAGGACAAAGACACAGATCGATGACTTGCAAGCAGCCAAACCTACCTTGAGGGAAGGGGGGTGGAACCAAGAATGAGACCCATAACTCAGCTTGATAGTTTGCATTGTCCACATACACACACACGCACACACGCAGACGTTAGCTTTGCCCTTCTCTGTCTTCTGTGCTGTGGAGAAAGAATGGTTGTCCATGGCAGCCGCTAAATATTGCCTGGCAGCGGCAAATCTGATATGAGGCGGTTCTTTTTCTAGATCTTTTCGTCAACGCGGCCCATGAGCCCACGCTGTACCAAGCATCTCCCACTGTTAGCGGCTCCTCAACGTCTGTGACCGCACCGGCGGACACTAGACATCAGCTGACAGGTGTCCAAAGGCCCGTGACCCTCGTTGAAGAGGGTTCGATCTTCGTTTTGTCCCAAAGCTAGCGCGTGGGGAGATGCCCATTGCAAAGAAACGCGGGGGAAGACTTTCATGACTACGTTCGGTTCAGGGCCGGCCTCTGGGCGGCGTGAACCAAGACCAGTCATGCGTTGAAAGCCGCTGGGCACTCACACAGTGTTATATGACGACGAGATGAGCCGGCCAGGGTTGGGTCTTTGTCAATTTATGCGGATATTCGGCAGAGAAGCGTCTGAGTCCATCGGAAACAGCCTCGGAACCAGTTTGATCTTGTCCAATCGAGCGAGAGGAAGTCGAGGGTCTGCTCTGGCATTTGGGCACTGTGGAATCAGTCTCTATTCATGATGAATTCCCGCGGAAATGTTGGACACTCTCAGCCAATTCGAAGTGGGTTTCCAGCCGGTGAGGCTCTCAAGGTTGTCCAACGAAACATCGCGATCCAGGCTAGGACGGGACCTTGCAGATGACAACAAGGTTCTGCAAGTAAGGTAGGAGAAGACGGTCTAGCGGTGAGTCCGTCAGACGGATTGGGCATGGCGAAATAGGCTGGCGTACCTGGTATTGGTGAGGAGTCGGAGCAAAGCCTCCCAGGAGGGATATCTTAATGTCATCATCCCCTTCATGGCTTGGTCACGGCTCCCGCTGGTCTCGTGTACCAAACTCCAGCTCAGTGCAGTCGGTTGTTGACAGATGCCAGACACCAGCATCGAGGCTGCAAGATTATGCGCCTTCCCGTCACCCTCCAGTCCTTCAGCAGTACAAAGTAAACAATAAAACAGAACAGCAAAAGCAAAGTAGTAAAGGCATGGCGTGCCAAACAGTCCACCTTCTGAGGAGAAAGATGGTGTTTGCGAACGATGACAAACCGTTGGCGTGACAAAGAGAATGATCTCGTCAAAGCAAGGGGTTTGTTGTGTTACTGTATCAGTGTCGATCGCGTATCGTGGTGGCTAGAGGAAGGATGGAAGGAGCCCTGGAGGATTTCGCGAAAGGAAGAAACCACGAGAGCACTAAGTTTGTTTGTTGTGCTCGAGGTCGTCGGATGTAACGATTTTCCGAGATGGACTTGAGATGCATGAAATTGGACAGCAACTCGCTGGTGAAACGTACAAAACGAGGACTGCGGAAAATCGGAAGAGAAGATGCAAAGCAACAGTCAAATGAACCAGCGTTACAAGTTGAATTTTACACCTAAAAATTCTGTCTCTTTAGTAGGATGTGCTGGGACAAACATGCCTGGCAGGGGAACATCGAGACAGTGATTCCTTGAGAAAAAGGAGTTGAAGTTCCTTGAGAAGTCTGACGATAATGTCGCAAAGCACGGGGCGCCGGTACGTTCGAGTACGGCCTTCTGGCCAAGCTCACATCTTTCCAAAATGTCGAGGTCCAGTCTCAGAGCCGTCAGACTTTTCTAAGTCAATTAGTGTGAGCATCCGGACCATTCCGAGAGTTGCTGCGCATTCATTAACTTACTGTTCTGCATCTAGGAGCTCCCTCCTAGTGTCAATGTGTCAAACGATCAAACTTCCGTATGGGCTAAATTCGTGGATCGTGTTCAGGGGGGAAGGGAGGCCGTCCAGGTCGGAAGACGATGCATGTCTGCAAGAACAGTTTACTGGCATGTGATTTCATGTCTATTATCAGAACCAGTTGTAGCAGTTATCAATAGCCAAAACTCGATTATTTATCCTCATTGCAGTGGCTGGTATAGGCAATCTTGTGATGTTCTGCCTCACCCTCAGTCGTAATGTCCAGCCACAGTCTTAGGACCGACGTATCGCCGGGCGAACAGCAATGTTGAGCAGCACGACAAGGGCTATGCTTGAAGCCCAAGGATACACTCGAGCTGGCAATCGAGAGTAATTATCGTGTGACGCGTCTCGGTAGGGAAATCAGGCCTTGGCCCCAACTATGACGATTCATCTGTGAAGGAAGTCATTGTCCTACCGAGACAGCCTTTCCACCGAGCCACAGTAATTGTCTCGTATGAGAGACACCAGCTGACAATTCCTTGGCCCTGCTGTATGTCCAAATAATCATGTGACCCGTGAGGTCTCGGGTACACCGTGTCCTTCTGGTAACTCGAGGTCAAGCACAGCCGCGCGGATGAGGATGCCTACTGGTCCCGGACCTCGGTCGTTGACTCGAATGGGAACGGGGTCTGAGGCATGGTTTCACACGTGCCGAGACACGATCATTCCCTGCCGAGTGAAGAGAACGTCGACTCGACAAACAACCTTTTGATTTTCCTCTCTCTGCGTCTGCCGTCATGGCCATGCCAGTTCTTTTGCTATCCACAGATGAACACAGATGACGGCAAGGTTTGGTGTCATTAGAAGCCCAGCACGGAACGGGGCATTGCCTCTTGCATACCCGCCACCGAACATGTCGTATCACAGATCAACAGATCCGTAGATCCTGTGTGTCAAAGGCTCATCTGCACACCCAAGCCCATTGTCTGCTAACCTGTGTAACCGATGATTGTCTGGCAGCGACGTCGCACAACGAACAGGGTGGTTGCAATGGTGGCCCCTTAGCGAACCAAACTAGCCAGACCTTTGAGCAGAATGGCACCACCGCCCGTCCCTCCCTGGCCTGCCAGTTCCATGTTTGCCGTTCTCACTGGGTACAACGTGGATGAGTATAAGTAGAGCAGGGGGAAGCGGGAAGTACGGCCTTAAGTCCCACATTAAGCCCGCAAACTTCTCTCGCTCTCTCTCTCTCTCTCTCTCTCGTCCTGTGGCATTCGCCTCTATGGCTCGGAAGTGGGTGCAATAGGTAGGAGCTCAGATCACATGAATGTTTCTACTTGAGCCTGTCTCGGGCGAACTACCCCTTCGATCCTCTCTATCGTGATCTTTTCCTCCTCAAAACTGGGATACTGGACGAGGTCGCCTCGTTTCGCTTCGTAGCACCCCCCGCTCGCAAGTGTTGTGTCTAGCTGTGTCTTGTCTCTCTTTCCCGCCTTGCCACCTGTCGTGTGGTCTTGTTCATCTGCACATGTGTGGATGTCGCAGGGCCGAACACATGGTGGTGCACATTTCGGGAGCCATGGGATGACCAAAGTGCCAACGTGTTCTTGAGGCTCTTTTTCAAATATCAATCAACGGAGATGGTGCAAATACTGTGAGATTTACATGTGAAAGAGGAAAGAGAACCTCCTCAAGAAACCAAATATATATAAGCAAAGAACGGATGGTGGGGGCAATCGGTAAAGCAAGCGAAGTGGCGTTCCTTGGCTTCTCGAATTTGACAGAGCGCCCTGCGAGGCCGTTGAGAAGCCACTCATAATCATGCATTATCGTTTCTCTGCGACTCGACCAGCTGCAGGGTGGGCAAGAGTCTGTATCACGTAGCACCGTACCCATCATAGGCTGGACTCCCGTCTTGTGGCACTGTCAGAGAGTATTTCACCCACTCGAGGTCTGGGATTGAAGAAGGGCGTTAAGGCTCCCCCAGATCTGGGGCCTGGAAAGCTGCAGTCTTCCTGTCCGATCCTCTCTTTTATTTATTTTTTCTGTGCCTCCTGTGCTGCTCCCAAGGTCTGACGAGATCTGAAAATCGCCTCGAGTCAAAGACAGTTGGGAAAATCTCTTCTTGCATCTGGCCAGCCTTGAGTCTCGAGTCTCTCGCGGGTTGGATGTCTTTGGTTTTTTTCTTGGTTTTCCCACCTCTTCTTTCTGCTATCCCCTGCAGAAATTAGGCGACTCCCCGACCTGCCGTTTTCGAAAGCTTGGACCGTGGGAAAAGGGTGAAGAGGTTGGATCAATATGGTGTGGGCATAATAAAAGAGGAACCTGGGCCATTCTATCAATTGGCACTCTGGATGAAAGACACCCAGAAATCTTCTTACTGGAACATATCTTGAAGGATAAGTACCCTTTAATCTGTGTTATTGTTCAGGACAGACAACCAAGCTGTGTCCTTTTTTAATCGTCATATTCTTCAGCCTGATGATCAGATTGGGGGTATTATCAGTTTCGCAGAGCAGACAACTGTGGTGTTGAATGTGCTCACTAGGGGAGAGGAGGAGCCCCTTGGGGCATCTCCATGGCCTTCAACCGGCCAGGGAGGATAATGGATGGACAAGAGAACCTCAATTAACGACACCCATTCCTTCATCGCCAACAGCAGTCGATGAAGGCACATTCACTCGCGGGTCCATGCCACCTTCACAACAACAATTGGGGGCCAGCTTCCATATACAGACGACAAACCAATCTCGACCTCCTGTTTTCTCGACACAATCTTCCTACTATCTCAACAAATCACCCATTCCGGCTATGCATCGCCAACAGTTCAACTCTGATTTCTGCCTCCCACCATCCAACAGTGATCTGCTTGTTGGTTCCATGAACCAGAGAGACCAATACACAATGGAGGCTCCTCTCAACAATGGCTTTGATACGGGAGCTCCCCTCCCATCTCCTCCACCTATCCTAAGTGGCGCCCGGCTAGCGGCCATCATCATCTTGTACGTACTCCTCCTCCTTGCCGTCGACCCAAAGAACCTTTGGCGGGACTAACAGGTGACCTAACTACCAGTATGCTCGGCGGCTTGTTGTTCTCCGTGATGGATACCACGATTGTCTCTACGGCCCTTGTCAAGATCGCGTCTGACCTGGAGGACTTTCCGAACATGTACTGGGTCGTGTTGGCATACCTGCTCTCCTATCTAGGTAAGACCAGTCTCTCTCTCAGCTGGCAGGGAACAATTCATTACGGCAGGCTGACAAGTGTTTACACAGGCTGCGCTATTGGTTTCGCCAAACTCGCCGACCACTTTGGCCGTCTTCCCATATTCCTTCTCTCGTGGTGGATCTTCTCGGTCTTCTCTCTCGGTTGCGGATTCTCAACTACCATGTCACAGCTGTACGTTATCGTTCTCCTGTTGAATTTTTCCTAAACAATGATATCTTTTGTTTGCTGACGAATCCTCTTTGAATAACAGGATTGTCTTTCGAGCTCTACAAGGAGTGGGCGGCTCAGGTCTCTACAGCCTATCCCAGATCGCCCTCGCCGAAATCGCCCCTCATGGAAAGAATGCCTTGATGGGAATCGTCATTGGCATGACCCTCGCCATATCTTTTGTCCTTGGTCCCCTACTGGGTGGTGCCATTTCTTCTGCCAACTGGCGCTGGATTTTCTATATGAAGTATGTTGTATTATTCCCCTTTCCCCCTGCCCAGACTGAAACCATGTAAACACCAAAACGTGACTCTTGTCCCAAGACTGACCAAGTCCCCACCCCTTCAAGTATTCCTGCAGGTTTCTGTTGCATGTTCGGCCTCGTCGTCCTCTGGCCCCAAAACTTCGGCAAGGCCCAGCACCCTTGGAAGGAGTTTTGGCGCATCGACTTCATCGGCAACATATTCATTCTCTCCGCCTGCGTTCTGATGGTCTACAGTCTGCAGCAGGCCGGCACAATGATCTTTGCCTGGACAAGTGTCGAGTTCCTCACGACCTTTATCGTCTCGATTGTCTGTTGGGCGCTGTTCTGGGCGTGGCAGCTCATCCTTCGTCAGTTGCCTATTCGAGTCGAGCCCGTGTTCCCAGTGCGTCTGGTGTATCATAGGATTTATATGGCAGCTGTATTGTGAGTCCCTTGTTCTTTCTTTCTTTTTTTTTTCTACCTTCTCCGTTTCCCCATATTCCATAATAATCTGAAACTAAACTCTCATGCCCAACCCCCCCCCCCCTTCTTTCAGGTCCATGTTCCTCTCCGGCTACTCGTACCTAGCCATCATCATCACCCTCCCCGAGCGCTTCCAGATCGTCAACGAGGACTCAAGCATGATGGCAGGCGTCCACCTCCTACCGATGCTAGGCGCCACAGCGTTAGGCTCCATCCTCGGCGGCACGTTCTCCAAGAAGAAGAACAACACCTCGCGAACGCTTGTGGCGGCCGCCTGTTTCCAGGTCCTCGGCCTAGGCCTGCTCACAACCTTTGACGCGCCCACGTCCCCCGTATCCCCTCAGTTCGGCTACCAGGCCATCTTCGGGCTCGGCGTCGGCCTGACCTTCTCCTCGGCCACCATCCTGACCAAGATCCAGGCGGCCGGGCGCGACCACGCCGTGGCGCAGGGCGTCATGGCCCAGGTGCGCGTGCTGGGCGGCGCCGTCGGCCTCGTCATCTGCAATGTCATCTTCAACAACAAGCTCGAGGACATCGACGGCAGCCTGACGCCCGCCCAGGTCGCCGCCCTGCACCGCTCCCCCTTGGCCCTGATCGGCGCCGGCGGCGACGCCGCGGAGATGGTCAAGGACGTCTTCTCCGCCTCCTTCCAGACCATGGTCTGGGTCATGTTCTGGGTGGCTGTCGCTGGCCTCGTCGCCAGCCTGTGCACCTGGGAGATGAAGCCGACCCAGCTCGACGAGATCGACCAGGCTGTAGCCGTGGCCGAGAACCGTGTGCCTGGTCCTCCTCCTGGTCATAAGCAGGCTAGTAGCAGCCGTGGAACAAGCGACACGGAGCTCGAGGACGTGTCTGCAGCCAGGATGCGCGTGGACACGAACGCAGGGGATACGCCGCCGCCGCCGCCGCCGCCGCCGCCTCATCCCTTTCCCAGCCAGGTGTAGGGTGGGCAAACAGTGGAGAGGACAAGTCGTTAAGTCCACTGTCATTCCTGTGTCGAAGACCATCTGTGTCGTTTCTGAAATCAAGGTCGTAACAGGAGACCTCATCAGGGTGATCTCGGTCTGTGACACAGCTGTACAAGATGAGGTGTTTATCTACTTGGTGTTGCCTTTTTCATTATATCATCAACGTGTAATGTCGATGAGGATGAAAGGGATCGAGGTCAGGGTGGTCTCGGTATCCAATTTGCGGAGGTGTCTTCCAGGATAGGAGAAGGGTGAGCTTCTTCTCATGGTGTTCTTCTGGGCGTTTCTACGGAGACTATGAGCACGGCGTTCTTCACTGTATGTTTTTTTGTTTTTTTGTTTTGTTTTACGGCAGTAACAAGATAGAGAGGCTCATACAGACTCAAATAAATCTGATTTCATGTAATGTTCAGCGGGCTCCATCAACAGACGGGCCATTTTCTTTTGGAAAGTGTACTATATCATACATTTCTTCGTTCTCCCCCTTCCCCCTTCCTTCCCTTCCCCCAGGCCGTTCTTCGCCTTACGTACTCAGCCATTCCAAACCTCCCCAGGCCGATACTCTTTCCCTCAGCCGCCATCGCCTGCCTACAGGCACCTGCCAACAAGACAGGGTTTCCCTCCCACCCTCCTCGCCTTGCTCCTCCCGTCAGCCTTCCTAGAGCCCGATTTCATATACGTATATACACACAATCATCCTGCCTCATAACAAGGCAAGCCTCAAGCTCAAGAAACCAGGAAGGTGACAAAGAACAAGGCCAGAGGGGAAAGCAAAAAGAGAGAAAAAGAAAAGAATCCAAAACGACAAGAGATAGGGTACAGAGCAAACGGCCCGCAGAAATTTAGAGAAAGCAGAAATGAACAATAGTAGTTGCACAGGGGTGTTGATCCGTGGTATATATACAAATCGAGCTACCAAGCACATGGGTGATGGTATAAAAAAAGGGAGAGAAACTAACGACGCAGGAAGAGTTTGCCAGGGCGCGGCGGGTTCAACGAAAAAGATAAAAAGGGAAGAGAGAATGAAACGGTCTTCCCGGGAAAAAAAGTCCTGGCTTTTCTTGCGCGTGTGAAGGATGTACGTCAACATGTCTTCTCCACCGGTGAGAATTAATTCCACGTAGTGGAAATGGAAACGGGAGAAGGGAATAAAACGAAGAAGAAAAAAAAAAGGAAAAAAGCAACCGCTCATTCATGCTGTGAATGTGGGCAACGTAAACCACCGCCGCCCTTTATGTTCCTTGACGCCCAAGTATTTTTTTTTTTTAGTGGGAGATCACGGGTATCCCTGCTTCCAAAAAAAAGAAAACCAGTGTCTTCATGTCTCATCATATTGTCCCATTTCTCTGGCTCGACATTTGACCCTCCTTCTTCCACTCCTCCCTTGCCCATTTTCCTATAGATTGTTCCCCCAAGCGGCCTAGTCAGGGCCAGCTCTACAGATGTATAGAGCCCGCTTCATCCAACTCGCGCTTTTTGGTGGTGATGAGGCTGCCGACTAGGCCCGTGCCCACGTCGATGTGAAAGTTCACGAGGTCGATCGTGTTCCCGTTGGCGAGAGAGATGTTGCTGGCCGCGGTGGCCGTCTGGGCTGAGGACTCAAAGAATGACTCGAGGGCCGTTTGGGCCGTCGAAGCGTCGCTCAGCTGCTCCTCCTGCAGGATGAACAGCACACCCACCCTGGCAAAATCGAGCACCTCCTGCGTCACAGTGAAGGTCGAGGAAGCAGTCGCAGTCGCCGCGCTCGAGGTCGTCGATGATGACGATGTCGAGGAGGCGCCCGTCCAGCTGGTCGTCAGGGTCTTGGTGATTGTAATCGTCGTGGTGGGCGGGACCGAGGTCGTGCCGCCCCCCACGGTGAGGGTCGTGGTGCTCGACTGCCCCGCCATGACCGTGACGGTGGCGGCGTTGGAGACATCCACGTCTTCCTCCATTTGGGCAGCGATTACCTGGTTCGAGGTCGTGGTATCGTTGCTGTCCGTTACGACGTCGGTGGCCGCGCCGACGCGCGTGTCCTGGCCGTCAAAGGTGACCAGGGCGTTCTGGGAAGAGCAGCTGAGGTTGCCAGCGTTGAGCCTGGAGAGGATGGTGGTCTCGGAGAGGTCGATGGTGAAATTAGAGGAGGCCTGCGTCAGCAGGCGCGGGATGGCGTCACCCACTGTGACATTACTGATATTAGCATCGCCGGATACGGTGATGGTGGTGCAGCCGTCTGTATCGGAGGTTGAACAATCGAAGCCCGTGAAGCCGTTGGAGCAGATGCAGGAGCAGATGCCGTTCGTGACGATGTTGGTGCCCCCATTCTGGCAGGTGAGCTGGTTTTGACACTGCTGCTCAGCGGCCGACGTGGTGCTGGTGCTGTTGTTGCTCTTGCGGACGACGAAGAACTCGATCGGGATGACAATGGCGGCTGCGACGAGGATGACGAGGACTATAGTGAGCAGGATGAAAGCCCACATGGGAAGACCGCAGCAGCGACGACCCTTCTTCTGAGAGTCAGGCGTAGCCCCTCCTGAGGCGTCGGGATTCGCATTGTTGAAGCGGCGGTCCAGAGGAGGCAGAGGCCACGACATGACCGAATCACGTATACTCTGCCGAATACCAGCACGGCTCTGCGCCTGGGCCGGTGGTGGGAATGCTGCAAGCATGTCGGAGAGGCCTGACCGGTGTTTATCGTCGTAGTATTCTTCTAGGAGTATATGTGTCAGCCGACCGTACCTAATCACATCAAAAGCGCCTTCTCACTCTCTCAAACACACACACTTCCGCCGGGAGTCACTTACCGGAACCGTGGCTGACGTTTGGCGGCCTGTTGGCAGCGTACAGCTCTGGCGGAAAATCGTCCATGTCAAAACGACTCGCAGGCCTCTTGCCGCGGTCCAGGCTCGCGGCCAGCCTCGTGGCCCGCCTGATCAGGTCTGGAAGGCTGGTCAGACTGCCTCTCTGCTCAGCTTCTCTGACCGCATCGATGTTCAGCCGTGGCGGGCGTCTTATCGCCGACAGCCGGCTGAAGCCCCGTTGTGCTTGTACTGGGGTGTTGGGAGAGTTGGACATGCGCCTCGAGGCTCTCGGATCCGTGGCAGATGCTGCGTCGTAAGCGTTGAGGATGGCGTCGGCCGTGAGCGCCGCACCGACGGGAGGGGATCTAGCTGATGTACTCGACGCGACAGTCGTGGCCGATCCTGAGGACGGCTCGAGGAGGCCCGTGCCGTCGGAGAAGGGGCTCGTCTGTAGCGGCGTCAAGGCAGGTCGGGGGGAGACGCCCTCTGCGTCCATGTTTCGCGAGACCGGTGTGGTCGTCACAAGCGCCGCCCGCCCCCTCCGTCCAACACTTGCGCTCCTGACAAGCCTGCTCTCGTCCCCGTCGTCTTCTGGCATGGACTGCATCGACATTCCTTCTGACGGGCTCGGGCTTCCCTCCTCGATGATCACGTTGTCAAAGAATGCTTCGGGGTCCCGGGGGGTGCTCATAGGAGAAGGCGTGCCCCAGCTCTCAGGCATTGCCGCACTCGACGCGTAGGACGTATGTGACCTCCGCGGGCTCTCCTCAGGGATGGGTGATACGTAGGACAGATGCGAGTAGAAGGACGAGGCGCCACGCCTGGCCGAGGGCGGTGGACCCAGGTTTACGCTTCTTCGGGGTGGTGGCGGGCCCAGGGAAGGCGGAGGAGCCTGTATTGGTAATGGAAAGTCGGGGATGGAGCCTACTGACGACAGGGTCTCAGGTCGCGAGAAGCTAGAGGGGGTCTCGGGCACGGAAGATGCGGCATTGCTTGAGTCTCTATCGAGCTGAGGTTGATATTGGAAGGAGGGCGTTGGGTCTTGGATCTTGGAGGCGTCTAGGATGGACGGTACGTGACTGGGACGAGGTGGTCTCTGGGGTGGGGAGCTGCCGGCTGGCGGTCTGTAGGGCTCCGTGTTGGACGAGTTAGAGGAAGTCGCCAGGGGACCAGCAAGAGGCCACTGTGGAACGGGCGCAGGCCTCGAAATCGGCAGCACAATCTGGCCATCCTTGTCTTGCAGGCCCGGTGGTGCTTGCAATCTCTGTTGTCTGGGCGCCCCATTGTCTGGTGAGCCTTGGGGAGGCCGACTCCTTGGTGGGATGTCTGGCGTCCTGGGAGATCCGCTGTTGTTGGCATTGTTCATTGCTGCTTGACGTCGGAGAAATGTCTCGTAGTCCTCTCGAGGCTGGCCTGCCTCGGCCCGTTCCCTCGCCCTCCTGATGATATCCGATGTAGACGGTCGGTCCATATTGCTCCCATATTGAGGTCGACTCATGAGTTGTCACCTCCTACAAAGAAGAACCACGAAAAGAAAATAGTCTCTGGAACCACCCTGCTACCCGTCGACTCCCTATCTCTTCAAGCTGACGTCCGATGCTGTTCTCGATCGCATATGCAAGAGTTGTCGGCCTCGGCTGGAAGGGAAGAGCGAGAAACACGCCAATTGGCAGGCGAGTGCGCAGTGTGACAAGAGCGACGATAACGGAGTCCCGCCGCGTGGGTATTGTATTCCCTCGAGAAGGTTCGTACAAGTCCAATATTCGAATCTGACTGGACCGGGACGTTGGACGATCAAAATCCTGAAATGTCCAGGGGATCGATCTTGCGAGATTGGCTGGTGTGAGCCGTCGACAAGTCCGGTTTTCAGGCGGTGTGAAGACAAGCTGATGATCTCGTGTGAGACAATCACCAAAAGAAGAGAAAAGGAGAAAAAAGATCCTCTCGAGACACAAGAGTTTCGCAGAGACTCAAGCGGGACGGGTCGCAAGTACCCTGGGACGAACCGACCCGTGTGTGTGTCTCTGATCAGGTTTGCTAACGTCAGTAAGTGTCGCAGAATTCCAACGCGGTGTAGATACAAAGTTGAATCACAGATTCTCGAGATGAACAAAAAATAAAAATTGGTGCTTGAAGAAAGAGGGAAGGCGACGACGACGACGACGACGACGACCAGATGACCAGGTAGAGAATAGGAAGGACACGATCAACACGTCGAGGGTTGAGACAAGAGAGGGTCCAAACAAAACAGCCGTGCGAGTAAGTAGTAGGTACAGCGACCAAGGTCAGAGGAAGAAGGAGAGCGCGGGAGACAGAGAGGGGGAGAGAGAGTAAGAGAGAGAAAGAGAGACGGGACGGGAGGGTCGCATGGAGGGCGACCACGATGCAGGGCAAGGCAGGACAGGGCAGGACAGGGTAGGGTAGGCTTGGGCTGATTACGAGCAGGGAGAGAGACAAATACAGGCACAGGCACAGTCAAGGCTCGACTCGGCAGCTTCTTCAAGGAGAATTACCGGCCACTGAGGGGAATCACGTACATCAGCTGTTTCGGCTGGCTAGCTCAACCACGCGGTCGTGTCAGGATCGACTCGCAGAGAGGATGTAACAGACCTTTGCGGGAAGACCAAAACCAGACAGGGTGTGGAGACGCGGGCGAATAGTCCAAGTTGACAATCACCATAGCAGGACCTCCTCGTTGACTCGTTGTCGAGGTTCAAAGACAAAACAAAGAAAGATCAATTCCAGCTTCTCGTCGACGAGAACGTCCTGGATGGCGACCTGGGCGCCTGAGAGGGAACTTTGGCGGGTCGACGATCCAATTGGAAGCAGCCCAAGCACTGTGAGGTAGAGAAGATGTTCCTGAAGGGGAGGGAAAGGGAAAAGAGGAGAAGATGGTTGATGATCGCCCTGGAGACAGACAGAAAAGGTCACAAGGACGTGTGCAGGGTAGAGAGGCAGGGTTGAATTCTGGTGGGCTGGGGGGGGGGAGTGTAAAAAAAAAAAAATCATCACAGGCGCACAGTGACCTGTAGCTTCCAATTCTAGTATTTGGCATGGTAAATGCTCATGGCACTACGGTAGGTACTCTGGTAGTAGGATTGGCCAGGAGTGGTGGAAAGAGGATTCGTGGGGGGGGGCGTAGGGAAGGGGCCAGGAATAGGACGAGGAGGATACGACACGATACGATGGTGTGGTTGAGGTTCTGCAGCGGTTTCAGAGATGCGGGACGAGCCAGGAGGTGCCGTGCAAGCGTCCTTTTCACTGCATCTCACACACAATGCAGGGCCAGACAGGGGTCTTGCTGGGGGGGGGGGGCGCTGGTAGGGGGTGTTGCCTTTTGGGGGAGGCAGGGGGGGGGCGACTGGCTTGATGCTGGTAGATATCTGTTTTTGTGAGGTACCCATCGTACCTACCGTCTTAACGTTACAGTACAATACTATACTATGGTAGCAGCCTGGCTGTCACTCGCTCTCGCTCTTAGTGCATCGACCGCCTACGACTGAAGACACGCCTGGAGACACGCCTTGGACTTGAAGGTTCGTCTTCTAGCCTACGATCATCGTCTCTCTTTGCCTACTCACTCACCCACTTCCTCTTTGATTGTCGGTCCACTGCAAGAAGGCTAATGATCCCATGGTATTAGTGCAATGGTATCGAACCAGACCGTTGAAAGTTTGTCTGAAATATGCTTGCTTCCCTGTCGAAGATCAGGTCTCGAGTCTCGAGTACTAGGATGTCCTACTCACTGCAGCAGGTCTTCTATGATACGATGCCCTCTTGGCCTTCTTGCCTATCCTGCAGTCCTGCTCCACACCTCGTCTCGATAAGTGCGTGGGGTGATAAGATGTCGTTGAGCCATGTCCGTCAATTCTCTCGTTCGTCAATCGACAAGAAGAAGTAAAAGAGGGGTGAAGTGTGGAAGTTGGAAGGTGAGCAAGTACCACATAGCAACACAACAGAGTTGCAGACCCCTCCTCGTCCCTTTCAAGCGAAGTCGTCGCCGAGCCTCCGAGCCTCCGAGCCCGCCGTCGATGTGACTCTCCGCGGGCATAATTAGGGTTGTTTTTGGGGGAGGGGTCGGGTGGTGTCGGCCAGTAAGCGTCCGATGCAGAGAGGGAAAGACGAATGACGAGAAACTTTTGGGAACCATTACGATCCCGTCAGCATCCGAGATGCAGCAGAGCAACAATGAAGCCAAGCAGCAAGCAGGAAGAAGAGCGGGAA